CCCTCTCGTTTATTCTAACTATCACTTTTCCTTCCCATCAATTACTCTCTTCTTAATTACTCCATATTACTATATCATTTACCATTCACACCATAGAATACTAGTGACGACGATGGATTATGATCATCATTATCTTTCTCAATAAATAACATGAGAAAAATAATAACTTATTCTCTTCCCTAACATTCCATACAAGTCTTGAAATTACCAGAAAAGAGTTTCACACTACAAAAAAACAGCAGATGAGTGACTATATTTTGTGACTGTCTTTTTTTGTCGCAAAAATTTGCGACTAATTTGAGACCAATTTGTGACTAATGTGCGACTACATAAGATATAGACTCAAATCAACTGCATAATAATGACTGAATGTTTTAGTCGTTTAATAGTCCTAAATTTAGCGACTTTTATTGGACTGTTAAAATGCAGGCGCAAAAGTGAGTCCCAAAATTGCTACTTATTTTCTACTCGTACTGTTCATGTCAGAAAAATCGCAGTTCGGTAAGTATAATTGTAATTTTAATGAGATTTTATAATAATGTTAGTAATATAATTGTGGGATTGTTTAAAACATATGTTTTATATTTTGTTATCCTATGATATGTCTCAATATATATATAAACAAATTAATGTGCTAGATAAAAGAATGGTTATTGTAGCTCAATGGGTAGGTTTACAATGTACATACGAATTATTTGTCTAAGGACCGATACATAGGTTATGATAATTTCACCGATTTATTAAGAAACATACAGATTTATAAATGTGTTATAAATCATAATGATTACAATGGCTTAGTGGATTTGCAATGAAGTTTAAAGTGAAATGTCTTAGGTTCGAGAGTCTTAAAAATCCGAGTGGTCCAAAATTGTCATTAAATACCAACTAATTTGTCACCATTTAGCGACAGTTCTCTAAAAGTGTGACTGATTTGTGTCTTTTTAGCAACGCATCCGTATTTATTTAGGTTTTAACTATTTGTTACACATAATATTGTATACAGTACTGAAAAATTAACTTTAATGGAGAAGAACTCCTTCTTGTATTTTCCATGCGAAAAATCATTCTAAGCTACACTAAGTATACTTCAACGCATGACTACACATCCAAACTAGATTAATGTATCAAAATCTACGCCAAATATTAAATTTGCATGATGACATTCACCAACAAACATAGGTTATTTGGCTAACACCATAACCATCACTTTTGTCACGGTATTGGTGTACCGCATGACGGAACCGATAAAGTCCGGTTAGATCCGAATTGATAAAAAAAAACATTACGTGGCCTGGTTAGTAACTAACCCAAAACTCAAGCTATCGACTGTGTTTTTTTTAAGTAATAGTGGCCTCCTAATATATTTGGAGCTACTAGTTTATGCTATTTACATTAATATGAACGCATTACAAAGACAAGTAAGTCTAATAATGAATTCAAACAAAACAAATTCTTCCAAAAAATCTGAAAAGACAAAAATAAGTCGATTGACTTGCCAAAAAATCTCAAAAAAAGAAGAAGCCGATTATCAAAACATCCCAAAATGTGCTTACTAATATCAAAAACAGTCTTTGTAGTCTCTTTATCATCCTAAAAGCAATCTAGCCAATTGGCTTCCTTGCGGTGTAGTTGAAGAAATGTTCCTTCTACTTAAGCTTCCAAGCAGTAATTCGAGCAGACGCCTCCAGTTTCAAGTGAATATGACGATCCTTTTCCTCTCTCAAAAATCGTAGGTGAATAATGACTATTTACAAGTCTAGATCGATACAATTGAACTTACAGTATTGTGGGCTGGTTTGCTTTTGTTTGGTTAAGAATTGACTTAGTTTGGGATAATTCAAATGGTTTCGGATTAAATTAACCGGATCGGATATTTTTTTTGTTGGTCTAACCGGACCTTACCGGTTTCGTCATGCGGTACACCAAAACCGGGATAAAAGTGAGATGGTTATGGTGTTAACACATAACCTATGTTTGTTCGTGAATGTCATAATACAAATTCAATACTTGGAGTAAATTTTGATACATTAATTTAGTATGGATGTGTAGCCATGCGTTGGAGTATACTTCGTGTAGCAAGAATGATTTTTCCTTTCCATAACATGTTTTAAGGTATAATACATGTGTTTCTAATCTAATGCTTAGGGTTTAGGGCATAGACTTATGACTCCTAACATAAAGTCACAAAACAATTACAATTTTTGATTATCTTGTGACCAAATATGTGTATCCGTTTTTCACCAAATTTTTTGAAAATTTTGAGCCATATACTCAAAACAATTTGGACTTTTGGGCGCGAATTTGTCCTACCAAAATTTATTTTGCGACTATTCCTAACTCACAACAAGTACTCGAGATCGAGATCCCAAATCTTATTTGCAAACCCTAGCCTGTAGAAGATAAACATGAAGATTCTGAATCTTAACCTCTTTCGATTTCATTCAGTTACGTCATTTCTTCATCTCTCTCTCGAATTCCTTCACCGAATCAAACCTAGATTCATCAACTCAAAGATATCTCTTCATCTCTCTGCATCAATTTCGATTCCTCTCTGATTCTTCTACTTTTCAATTCTATGGTTTCTTCACTTCTATGGTTTTTCTTTTTAATTTCAGCTTTTTAAATCTGA